TCGTTAAGCACTTTCGCAAGAATTTTATAATTTTAATTAGATAAAATGTATTTTTTATTTTATACAATAGACACTTCAAATTCGTTAAACTTTTTTTTTTTGGTATACCTCACGTGATTTTTACCGGTAATTTTACTATCACTATTACTATATCGATATATCGATATCAATTTATGGCAGATTACGACATGAGTGCGTGAGAGTGAAAAGCCTGGAAGATTTAATGATTTACCATGATTGGTTACAGGTTTTCACTCTCACGCACCATATACTGTATATATAGTTTTTTTTTTTTTTTTTTTTGATTTACTTATAAATTATAGAATTAGTAATCAACCTAAAAACTATAAATTTAACGTTAAAAGGCAAGCTGCTAATGTTAATATTTATATAATTTTGGTAGGGAGCGTACACACGGGATTTCAAATATCGATATATCGATATTGCGTAACAAATCTGTATCTATAGTGATAAATTTTAGTTATGTCAACTTCGTCTAGTGAAAGTGAAGTTGAGGAAACTGAAAGTGAAAATAGTGAAAATGAACCAATCGACAAAACATCTAATAGTGAAGACGATGAGGATAAAGATGTAGTTTCATCTGATGACAACGATGGTTCGGAAATGGAGGGTATAGAGAATTTTGAGTCTGCACAGGAAATAAATGAATCCGGAAATACTGATAATAGTGAACAAGAGGATGAAGAATCTGATGATGAAAAAATGGTGGAAGATAATGCGAAAATATCAAATCATAAAAAACAAGATGTTTCAAAAGCACGACAGATAGAATCGTCTTATCAAGAACAGAAAATGGTAAATATACATATTTTAATCTATCGATTATTTTATAAAAATAATGCTAAATCCATGAGTTTAAAAGGTTAAAGACCCTGAACCAATACCACTGTTATCACGTCCGAATGCTGCAAGTCAGTTTCGTAATTATTATATGTCTCAAATTACTAAAGCATTTGGCGAGGATTTAGATAGAATGCGAAAGGTAATTGATTTTTAATCTTTGTATTTATAGCGTTCATTAAAGATATACTTATTGTGCTTGATATATGAAAGGACCAAAATCTTGATCCTAATCGATTAGAAATATTAATTGATTCATTAGAATCGGGTATTAGTATTTTTTCGGACGTTGAAAAAGAGTTGGCTTTATTATCTCATAATAATAAATAATAGTAATTGTCTTTTTTCTTGTCCTGAAAGTTTTTACAATATGTGTTGTAAGTGGATGGAATTCAAGTGGATTTGGAATTTCTTAAACATATAATTTTACGGTAAAATTTATTTTATACGAACCTACATTCTAAACCTAAAATCCTAAAAAATTCCAAATTCCGTTCTCACTTACAACATATGTTTATGTCTTTCTATAGCTGAATATAACTGAATTTCGTTATCAAGCTGTGGATTTTTATATTTTAATTATAAATTGAGACATTAAAAAACTAAATGAAGTGATTAAAAATTTTTGCATTAATTATTCAATATTGACAACTTACGTTTTATTTTAGAACTTTAAAGCTAATAAATATTCATAAAAATTAATAATTACAACTTCCTAAATCTTGCTTGCAGAAATTTTCTATCGACACATAAACCCTTCGCTCTATTGACAGTTTCTCTTGCAACATTACCACCATCCACGAATTCAAAAAGTTTATCTTTTTCAAATATTTCCTTTAAATATTCAATAGTGAAAAAATAAGACATCGTTCCATCTTGTCTAACATATAAATTTTCTTGTAGTTTATGTTGAGCTGCTATAGTTGAAAATCTAATTTCAGTTTCATCATCTTTCGCGTAATCACGAAAACATATTATTGATCCTTCTCTTGCAACCTTTTTTTAAGAATTAAAAAACGTATGATGTATATTTTCCGCATAAGAAAACAAAAAAGAAAAAGATGAAAAAGTTTCTCTAATTACCTCCGATATATTACGAATTACGTTGTAATGTTTTTCTGGTGGTATGGCTGATAATACAAATATTAAAGAAACAACATCTATGTTTCCTGATGCTATATTGTCTTTTAGACTATCAGTCGTTAAATCACAAACAAAGGCATGACATCTTGAACTATCGTATTGTTCATGATTCTGTTTAGAAATATTCCAATTTAATTATGCAGAAATAAATTAAAAAATCGTGATTTCTATAATACGGGTGGAGAGATGGAAAAATTCCTCACCCTAACAGGTTACTAATTCACATATAGAAAATCCTCATAGAATACGGG